ATTTCTTTGTCTCACAGACCCATCTTCCTCTGCTATTTCACAGAAAAGTTTCTTGAACAATCTATACTTCCAATTTCCACTTCCTCTCCCTCTTATTTATTCCACAACCTAGCTTCTGTTCACTGGATTCCTCTTCAATTCCCAAACCTCATAAATCCAAGGTTATTTGGCAGACTTCATATTATTTGACTTCTTTAGCAACTTCTGAGGTTCACTAAGGCTGAAGTTCCTCAGAATTGCAAATTACCATCTTTAGACAATGGAGATCTATTGTTTTGACTGTGCAGGCCCAGAATGCTGGGGAATAGGCCTGTGTGGAGGCCAGTAAGCCAGTTCCTAAAGGGAGGGAAGTGGAGGCAGAAGGAAGCTTTGATGTAGACTACCACTTCAGCAGAGAAGGTCAGAATTACAGATCAGGAATCATAAAAACTCTAGAAGATCCTAAAATCATGAAAAATATACATGCATTCTATGTTACTTAGATAAAGAAGACTAAAGAATATACACCAAAATGCAAACAATGATTATATTTCTTAATGTTAAGATTAAGGACAGATTTTATTTTCTTCTTTATAATAATAAATAGTTCATTTTCTACAATGAGCATAACTTTTTTTTTCGGTAATGGTGCTTTTTTTTCTTTATTGATTTTTAGGGAGAGGAAGGGAGAGGGGGAGAGGGAGAAACATCGATGAGAGAGAACATCGATTGGCCACCTCCTGCTCACCCCCCACTGGGGATTGGGCCCACAACCTGGGCATGTGCTCTGACCGGCAATCAAACCTGGCAACCTGTTGGTACATGGGTCGACTCTCAACCCCTGAGCCACACCAGCTGGGCTTGTTTTGTTTTCTTAAATAGCAATGGTCTGTGTGCCAGGCTTCCAAGGTAACAAAAAAGGATGTTGCCAGGGAGATGCAGCTCCACAGAATATTTGGGAGAATAAAACCCCTGGGGAGCAAGTGGGTGTCAGGAGCTTAAAAGACGTAAGAGAAGCAGGATGGGTGCATGGGGCCCACCTATTCTTGGGAGAGAACGAAAGGGGAACCAGTCTGCCCTGAGACAACCCAGAAAGTGCTTGGTGTGCCTCTAGGGCCATCTAGTCAGATATCAAGCCCCTTATATTCTCCCTTTAAGATACTGTGCAGGACTTCCGGTCAAGATGGCGGCATAGGTAAATGCAGTATTGCATCCTCCCACAACCACATCAAAGTTACAACTAAGCTACAAAACAATCATCATTCAAAATCGTCTGAAATCAAGCAGAATGGAAATCCTACAACTATGGAATTAAAGCAGCAGCCACATAGAGACTTGAAGGAGGGGGGTGGAGGCAGACTGCCTGGTCCCACACCCATGTGTGGCGGATAAAAATCAAGAGGAATACCTTGGCTAAGAAGGTCTTCTCTGAGGACTGAGGTGTCCCTGTCCCACACCAGGCGCCCCGCTCAGGGTTCCAGTGCCAGGAAGAGAAGTCCCCATAATTTCTGGCTGGAAAAACCAACAGGAACTGAGGCTCAAGGAGGCTGAGGCGGCTGGAGTCGCAGGCAGCTCCTCTTATTTTTATTTATTTATTTATTTATTTATTATATTTTATTTTATTTTATTTATTTATTTATTTATTTTGTGGTATGTGCCCCTAGCAGGAACCAAACCCGGGACTCTCTGGTATGCAGGCCCACACTCAACCGCTGAGCCAAACTGGCAGGGACAGGCAGTTCCTCATAAAAGGCCCGTGCACAGACTTACCGGACTCACTCCCTCTAAGCTTGGAGAGGAGGCAGCTCAAAGGGCACCAGAGACATACAGGGAAGAACTGAGCTGTTTGGCACTGGAGCGAGGGCTGGAGAGAAGGCTTTCTCAGGGACAATCATGCTGTCATAGGCCTTTGTTCCTTTGGTGAGCCCTTCCCTGGGGCGGCAGACAACTGCCATATCTGGGACCCCAGAAACCTGGCTCACACTGGTTGCCCCGCCCTGGTGATTGCCCGAGGCCCCGCCCCACCCAACTTTCAGGCCCACCCAAGCTGTTGCCAATTGCTTAACGATAAGATTGGCCTGTCTTAGATCCTGCTTCAGGTTTTCCTAAATTCCTTCAAACAAGCAGCATCTGGTCTCAGATGGCCCCATACCTCTCGTTAAGTAATACATAGAAACAAACACAGAGTGGGAGCCAAAATGAGGAGACAAAGAAACAGGTCCTAAATTAAAGAAGAGAACAAAACCCCAGGAAAAGAACTAAGCAAAATAGTGATAAACAACCTAACAGATGCTGAGTTCAAAACATTGCTTATAAAGATACTCAATGAACTTAGTGAGAACCTCAGTGAACTTAGTGAGGGCCTCAAGAGCATAAAAAAGGACCAGTCAGAAATGAAGGAGGCACTATCTGAATTAAGAATAGTTTACACAGATTCAATAGTAGAGTAGGTAAAGCCAAGAAGCAAACCATCGATTTGGAATATAAGGAAGCAAGAAACACGCAGTCAGAACAGCAAAAAGAAAAAAAAATCCAATAAAATGAGGATAGTGTAAGGAGCCTCTGGGACAACTTCAAGCGCGCCAACATTCGCATCTTGGGGGTGCCAGAAGGAGAAGACAGAGAATAAAAAATTGAAAACCTGTTTGAAACAATAATGGCAGAAAACTTCCCTAAGTTGGTGAAGGAAACAGACATACACATCCAGGAAGCACAGAGAGTCCCAAAAAAGATGAACCCAAAGAGGCCCACACCAAGACACATCATCATCAAAATGCAAAAGGTTCAAGACAAAGAGAGAATCTTAAAGGCAGTGAGAGAAAAGCAGTTAGTTACCTACACGGAAGTTCCCATTAGACTGTCAGCTGATTTCTCAAAAGAAACTTTGCAGGCCAGAAGGGAGTGGCAAGAAATATTCAGAGTGATGAAAAGCAAGAACCTACAACTAAGGTTACTCTATCCTGCAAAGCTGTCATTTAGAATCGATGGACATATAAAGACTTTCCCAGACAAGAAAAAGTTAAAGGAGTTCATCACCACCAAACTGTTATTATATGAAATGATGAAGGGTCTTTTTGAAGAAAAAGATAAAATATATGAACAAACAAAATAGCAATGAATACATATCTACTGACAATTGAATCTACAAACAAAATAAACAAGCAGAACAGAAACATTCTCATAGATACAGAGAACATTTGGTTCGTTGCCAGATGGGAGGGGGGAGAGGGAAATGGGTAAAAAAGGTGAAGGGATTAAGAAGTACAAATTGGTTGCTAGACTAACAAACCTCAAAGGGAAGGGGGTTTGGGGGGTGGGAAGAAATAAATCAAAGAACTTATATGCATAACCAAAGGACACAGACAACAGTGTGGGAAAAGGTGGGAGGGGGGCGGGAGTCAGATGGTTGGGGTCAATGGGGGAAAAATGAGGAACATCTGTAATGCATTCAACAATAAAGAAAAAAAAAAGAGCCCTGGCCGGTTTTGGTCAGTGGTTAGAGCATCGGCCTGCGGTCCAGAGAGACCTGGGATTGTTCCCGCTAAGTGCGCGTGCCTTGGTTGCAGTTTGTCCCTGGCCCTGGTTGGTCGTGTGGGTGGCAGCCACTCGATGTGTCCCTTTCACGTCGATGTTTCTCTCTCTCTCTCTTCCTCTCTCTCCCTCCCACTCTACCTGAACAAAAAATGGAAAAATGTCCTCGGGTAAGGATAAAAAAAAAAAAAAAAAGATACTATAGAGCCCTGGCCGGTCTGGCTCACCAGTTAATAGTGTCAGCCTGCGCACCAATGGTTCATGGGTTTGATTCCAGTCAAGGGCACGTACCTTGTTTGTGGTTCGTCCCCAGTCCTGGTCGGGGTCGTGCAGAAGGCAACCCTCTTGTGACGATGTTTCTCTCTCTCTCTCCCTCCAACTCTATCTGAAGATAAATAGAAAAATATCCTCGAGTGAGGATAAAAAAAAAAAAGATACTATGGAAATCTCCCTGCTACTCTGTCTCCACACTACCCAAATGGTATCCTCAATACTGGCTCATTGACTTCCAACCAACCTCCACACAACTGCTAAGTGTTCTAAACACAGTGAACACTGGAAAACATTTCAAAATTATCTAGAATACAGGATACTCTATACTCTCAAATGTATATAACCTTCTCCTGACCTTGCCCAGCTCCACTTCCCAGCCCAGACACTAGCCTCAGTACCTGTAGTTCTCTGACTGCACACAGCCTTCCCTGAACTAGAATTTTCTTCCCTATCCCTACCCACCTGGCAAACTCCTATACATCCTTTACATCTAGCTCCAAAGTAAAATCCTCTGCAAAGCACACATAGTCAACTGGCTGCTCCTCCTCTGTATTTTAGTGGTTTTGTACATCTTATTGACATCATTCAAATACCCATCTATCCCACTAAACCAGAGATATTTCTGGTAAGGAACCACATGTCCCTATGCATCTAGAATAGTGCCTAGATACTGGAGGCACTCAATAAATATTTGAAGAACTAAATAAATACATGAGTTTGTTTTTACTACATATTTTTATAGATATCTCAGAAATAAATTTTAGGAGCTGAAAAACAAAGTTTAAGACTTCAGTTAAAGTTTAAGACAAAGTTTAGTTAAAAGTTTATTTTCTTTTAAGTAAAAAGAAAATAAAGATCCAACCAACTATATACTGGGAAAATGGTAAGACTTCTGCCATGTTTATAGCTAAGAGTATAAAACTATAGCAATTTGGAAATACCAACCATCTCTAATAATTTGAGGATTACATATTGTACAGAGGTTTTTATTTTTCCTTTGCATAATGGTGGAGGGAGTACTGCAAAGTGTCTGTTATAATGCAAAAGTAATTCGATTACGTAGATTCTCTTCTAAAACAAACTGGTAAGAATGGCTGATAACCAGGGAACAAGACAAACTTAAGATAAACTGCAAGAAAACAGAATCTAAACCTAATTCTCATTTGATATCATTTAACTTTCATCAGTGCCTGCCTATTTGCCTACAATGAATTTACCTGAGCTAAAGTAGGGACTGAATTTTGACCAGGCTGGGCCTGCATATATGCAGATTCTCTCTCTGCCACAGAATCTGTTACACTTCCATCCTGCTGAGATTCAATTGTTTCCATGGTCATTTGTCTGAAAAGACAATAAAAACAAAGAAACATTAAGGTCTTATCTGAAACATTTCTCTGTTTTTACCTATCTTTGATACTCATTTCTGTCATCCAAATGTACTGGTTTATTTTTTTGAGAAATAAGTTTAGTGGCAGAGTCCTAACTCCCCAAACATAAGGCACCTCCTCTGCTCACCGGATATGGACATTAACAAGGAAGAAATGCAAAAATGTTTTAGGGAAATTAATTTATTATTTTTTTTAGTCCTCACCCAAGGATATTTTTTTTCCCTATCTATCTTCAGATAGAGTGTGAGGGAGAGGGAGAGAGAGAAACATCAATGTGAAAGGAACACATGGACTGGTTGCTTCCGGCATGACCCCACCAGGGGACGAACCACAACACAGGTACAGGCCCTTGACTGGAATCAAACACGCAACTCATTGGTCTGCCGGCCAACGCTCTAACCTTTAAGCCAAACCAGCCAGGGCTAGAAATTAGTTTATTAAAAAACTAATTTTGAATATTTTGAATCTTATAATAAAGTCTCCTTGATAATTATTTTAAGCCCTGTAATATAAATGAGTGATAAAATTAGGTTATTTATTTTACATAAAGTCTATGATTCTCAAGGCAGAATATACTTGCTTTATAATATGATATAGTATGAATTTTGCCACTAAGTTGAATACACTATAATATAAAGGTGTGTCTAGCTTTGTCAGCACTAAGTATTTTCTGATAAACAAGCCTCTCAAATAGAAGCACTCAAAAATTGACCATCTGTCTGGCAGCTCCCCAGCTACTTAAAGAAGAAAGTCTAACTTTTATCCAGGAAAAACTTTCGTATTAATGTTTTCAATTTAATTTAATGATTTCTACATGGGGTCTTTCCAGATAGAAGATAAACCTTATCAGTATAAGTTTTATCCTACTAGAAAGTTAAATTGTAAACAAAATAAACTATTTTACTCCATTACTGTACATCTTTTTAACTGTCATTAATAGAATATGCTTTTTTTTCCATCTCAGAAGTCAAAATATGTATCCAAAAAGTATGTAGGCCACTTAGAACCTAAGAGTTAAAATATCTAGATCTTTTTCCCAGATTTAATTAGTTGCCAGACCCTGTAGATCCTTCAGCTACAGTCTTTCATTTACTATCTTCTTTTGCATTTCAACAGCCACTACCTACCTAAATCTAAGCCTGCCATGCTCAAACTGGTAGACTATAGTCTATACTACCCCTAGAGTTGCCTTTTCCAAAAGTATCTGACCACCAAAAACTCTTTTCCACAAAGCATTTCCTAGTATTACTATTTTGGAAACAACTTGAGAAATGCTGACTTATGCTATTTCTTTCCTTTTGTTAATCCTCACCTTAGGATATTTTCTCCATTGATTTTTAGAGCAAGTGAAAGAGAAGGAGGGAGGAAGAGAGAGAAACATCCAATGTGAGAGAGACACATGGATTGTTTGCCTTCAGCACACGCTGCTCGGGGGCCAGGGATGAAACCTTCAGCAGGTAATCGACAACCTAGGTATGTCCCCTTGACCAGGAATGGAACCAGGACCCTTTGATGTGGAGGCTGACATTTTACCTACTGAGCGATACCAGCCAGGGCTGTTTTATAGTATTTCTTATACCTTTATTAAAAGGCTTCTTTAGCACCAAACCAGCACTGCAAGAAATGTTACAAGGACTGCTGTAATTAATAGAAGAAATTGGTAGAAAAATATAACCACACTAAAAACAAATGACAATAAAATACTACATATGAATAATCACCTTAAATGTAAATGGACTGAATGCTCCAATAAAAAGACACAGAGTAACTGACTGAATAAGAAAGCATGACTCACATATATATTATTTACAAGAGACCCACCTCACAACAAAAGACTCACATACTTTGAAAATAAAGGGATGAAAAAAAATCTTCCAAGCAAACGAAAAGAAAAAAAAGCTGGGGTAGCAATACTCATATCTGATTATATAGATTTTTTTTTTATCCTCACCCAAGGACATTCTTCCATTTTTTGTTCAGATAGAGTGGGAGGGAGAGCGAGGGAGGGAGACAGATAAACATCGACGTGAAAGGGACACATCAAGTGGCTGCCACCCGCACAACCAACCAGGGCCGGGGACAAACGACAACCAAGGTATGCGCCCTTAGCGGGAACTGAACCCAGGTCTCTCTGGACCGCAGGCTGATGCTCTAACCGCTGAGCCAAACTGGCCAGGGTGATAAAACAGATTTCAAGATGAAGGCCAAAACTAGAGACAAAGAAGGCCACTACATAATATTGAAAAAATCTATCCAACATATATGCACCCAATGTAGGATCACCAAAATATATTAAAAATCGTCTGGAGGACTTCAAAGGAGAAACTGACAGCAATACAATCATAGCAGGGCACTTCAACACCCTGCTGACATCACTGGATAGATCCTCTAGACAAAAAATTAACAAGGAAATAGAGATTCTAAATGAAGCACTAGACCAAATGGATTTAATAGATATCTACAGAGAATTACACCCCAAAACGGCAGAATTCACATTCTTCTCAAGTGCACATGGGACATTCTCAAAGATAGACCACGTTCGAACACAAACTAAGTCTCTACAAGTTCAGGAAGATTGAAATAATATCAAGCATCCTCTCAGATCACAATGGCATGAAACTAGAAATCAATTGCAACAAGAACAGGCAAAGACATTTGAACACATGGAGGCTAAATAGCATGTTATTGAACAATGAATGAGTTACCACTGAGATCAAGGAATAAATTAAAAACTTCCTGGAAACCCATGAAAATGAACACACAACAACACAAAATCTATGGGAAGCAGCGAAAGCAGTTATGAGAGGGAAGTTCATAGCACTACAGGCCTACCTCAAGAAACAAAAAAAAAATTCTAATTGACTGTCTAACCTCACAACTTAAAGAACTAGAAAGCAGCCCTGGCCAGTTTGGCTCAGCGGTTAGAGCGTCGGCCTGTGGTCCGGAGAGACCCGGGTTCGGTTCCCGCTAAGGGCACGTACTTCGGTTGCAGTTTGTCCCCGGCCCTGGCTGGTCATGCGGGTGGCAGCCACTTGATGTGTCCCTTCACGTCGATGTTTCTCTCTCTCTCTCTCCCTCCCACTCTATCTGTACAAAAGATGGAAAAATGTCCTCGGGTGAGGATTAAAAAAAAAAAAAAAGAACTAGAAAGCAAACAGAAAGAAAACGCCAGAGCAAGTAGAAGGAAGGAAATAGATCAGAGCAGAAATAAACAACATAGAGACCAAAAAACAATTCAAAAGATCAATGAAACAAAGAGCTGGTTTTCCAAAAAGATAAACAAGATTGATGGACCCTTAGCTAGATTCACCAAGAAACAAAGAAAGAGAACCCAAATACACAAAATCAGAAATGAAAGAGGAGAAGCAACAACTGACACCAAAGAAATACAAAGGATCATTAACAAGTACTATGAACAATTATATGGTAACAAATTAGACTAAGTGAAATGGACAAATTTTTAAAAAGACACAGTCTCCCAAAACTGAACCCAGAAGAGATAGAAAACTGGAACAGACCAATAACAACTAAGGAAATAGATGTAATCAAGACTCTCCCACCAAACAAAAGCCCAGGCCTGGATGGCTTCACGGGGAAGTTTTACCGAACATTCAAAGAAAAACTAACACCCATTCTCCTCAAACTATTCAAAAAATTCAAGAAGAAGGAAGACCTCCAAACTTGTTCTGTGAGGCCAGCATAATTCTAATTCCAAAACCAGAAAAACACACAAAAAGAAAATTACAGGCCAATATCCCTGATGAACATAGATGCCAAAATCCTTAACAAAGTACTAGCAAATTGGATCCAGCAGTATATAAAAAAAATTATTCACCATGACCAAGTGGGATTCATCTCAGGGATGCAAGGCTGGTACAATAGTCACAAATCAGTAAATGTAATACACCACATAAATAAAATGAAAGTTAAAAACCACATGATCTTATCAACAGACTCTAAAAAAGCATTCGACAAAATCCAGCACCCATTTCTGATAAAAACACTCAGCAATGTGGGATTAAAGGGATCATATCTCAACATAATAAACAGCTTATGTAAAAGACCTACAGCCAACATCATACTCAATGGGCAAAAAATAAAAAAAATTTCCCTTAAGAACAGGAACAAGACAGGGATGCCCACTTTCACCACCCTTATTTAACATAGCACTGGAAGTCTTAGCCACAGCAATCAGACATGAGAAAAAAATTAAAGGGGCCCAGCAAGTGTGCCTCAGTGGTTGAGCATCAACCCATGCACCAAGAGGTCACCGGTTCGATTCTTCGTCAGGGCACATGCCCAGGTTGTTGGCCAAATCCCCTGAAGGGGGCATGCAGGAGTCAGCCAATCGATGTTTTTTCTCATTGATGTTTCTAGCCCTTTCTCCCGCTCCCTTCCTCTCTCTCTAAAATCAATAAAGAAAAAGAAAAAGAAAAAAGAAAAGGGATCCAAATTAGAAAAGAGAAAGTGAAACTCATTATTCACAGATGACATATTATCACTAGAAAATCCTAAAGACTCCATCAAATATATACTAGACTAATAAATGAATTTGGCAAAGTAGCAGGATACAAAATTAACGACAAGAAATCGACAGCATTTTTTTTTATTTTTTTTTATTTTTGTGGTACGTGCCCCTAGCAGGAACCAAACCCGGAACTCTGGTCCGCAGGCCAATGCTCAACCGCTGGGCCAAACTGGCCAAGGTTTGACGGCATTCTTATACACCAATGATGCAGTCACAGAAAGAGAAACTACACAAAACAATCCCATTTACTATCTAAAAAAAAAAAAATTAAGATACCTAGGAATAAACTTAACCAAAGAAATAATGGACCTATTTGCAGAAATCTACAGATCATTGAAAAAATAAATAGAGGAAGACATAAAAAGGTGGAAGCACATACCTTCTTCATGGATTGGAAGAATTAACATCATTAAAATGTCCATACT